GTGTAGATCTTGTTTTTCACACACATGCTAGTAGGAGATGCTCCGATTATTCTATGAATGATCTCATGCTCATTACTTGGGATTTGGACTAGTGTGGATCTTGTTTTTCACTCACATGCTAGTAGGAGATGCTCCGATTCTTTTATGGTTGATCTCATGCTCATTACTTGTGGTTTGGACTAGTATAGATCTTGTTTTTCATACGCATGCTAATAGGAGATGCTCCGATTATTCTTTGAATGATCTCATGCTCATTACTTGGGATTTGGACTAGTGTAGATTTTGTTTTTCACTCACATGCTAGTAGAAGATGCTCCGATTCTTCTATAAATGATCTCATGCTCATTGCTTGTGATTTGGCCTAATGTAAGTCTTGATTTTCACCCATATGCTAGTAGGGAATACTCCGAATTTTCCATAGGTGATTTCATGCTCAAGACTTGTGTCTTGGGACTAGTTTAGCTTGTGCTTTCCACTCACATGGTAGACAATGACATTCCGTTTCAAACTTGGTTGCATGCATGAGCCATGGGCATGTGTGCTAGATCGAGTGCAAGGGTGTCGGTACTTCAGTAAAATAGATCTGAAGTCCGGGTACCATCAGATTGCTATAAGGCCCGAGGATCAGCACAAAACCGCATTTCAGACCAGGTACGGTCTGTACGAGTTTGTGGTGATGCCTTTCGGCCTTTGCAATGCCCCTGACACCTTTCAGCACGCGATGAATCGGATCTTTCATGACTACTTGGACAAGTTTGTCATCGTGTACCTCTACGACATGCTTATCTTTAGTAGGACCGTCGAGGAACATGTGCCTCACTTGGACAAAGTCCTTAGTCTCCTCCGACAACACAAGTTCAAGATCAACGGTGAGAAGTGCGAGTTTGGCCGCACCCGTATCTTGTACTTGGGTCATGAGATTTTCGCGGAGGGTCTGAAGCCCGATATCGCAAAGGTGGCCAGCATTCGTGACTGGCCACGTCCTCAGTCTGTGACTGAGATGAGGCCCTTCTTAGGGATAATCGGCTACTATCGCAACTTTGTGAAGAACTATAGCATAGTTGCCGCCCCTTTGACGGACCTGACTCGCCTTGACGTGGACAGACAGGTGTGAGGCTGCTTCCAGACAATTGAAGCACACATTGACACACCATGAGGTCTTGAAACTTCCTGATCCGGATCCTAGCCAATATGGCATAGGCGTCGTACTTGCGCAACAGGAGGACGAAAACGTTGAGGACAGTAGAGTACATGTCCAAAAAGATGCCCTCTCAGAAGTTTGCTAAGTCCACCTATGAGAAGGAGCTCTATGTGATCTACACCCATTGGAGGCACTATCTCCTTGGGAGGTTCTTCTACGTCAAGACTTATCACCAGACCCTAAAGTGGATGAGAACCCAACCTGTGCTCTCCGACGCTCTGAAGCGTTGGATTGAGGTCATAGAACAATACGACTTTGAGCCCCAGTACATCAAGGGCGAGTTTAACAAGGTTGTTGATGCACTATCGCCTACACCCGACTTCTCAGGTGCGATGATCACTGAGTTTGGGCTTGTGGACGATGTTACTCACACTATGGTGGAAGCCTATCGCGAGGATCAATTTATGTCTGAGATCATTTGCAGACTCGAGGCGAAGGATAAAATCACCTCTGTCGAGTTTGAGTTGGTCAACGGCCTGTTGTTCCTTGAGAAGGAAGGGAATAAACGTTTGTGTGTGCTGAATAGGGAGTCTTTGCGTAGTTTATTTCTAGGCGAGTGTCACGATGCCACCGAACATTTCGGCTTCAAGAAGACTGCAGCCAATCTGCTGCAGCGGTTCTGGTGGCCCACGATGATGAGAGATGCCAAGCTGTACGTGGAGACTTGTCAGGTCTGTCAGAGAGTCTGGGTAAAATCCTCAGAACTAGGACAGGAGCACGGGATCTCCCGTTAGCTCATGCCACAGTACTTTGGACCATGGGAGGTTCTTGATGTTGTTGGGGAAGATTCGGATGGGCCATCCTATGTCATTCGGATCCTTGGTCATCTCCGCACTTGCCGTCTTTCACGCCTCCAAGCTTGCACCATTCAGAGAAACTGACCAGTTTCCCTCTCGTCGTTCTATGCTGCCCCCAACCATGTTGACCACAGGGAGATGCCAGCTCCAAGACCAACAGGCAGAGGACGTCCTCCGAAACCGAAGCTGCAGTATCGAGTTTGGTTCAGACATCACACTGATGCAAAGGAGGACAGATGGTTCACAAAGGAGGAACTCATGCAGACCGCTCCACAGGTAGTCGCTCACTACGAGAACTCTCTACGGAAAGGAAAGCGCCAGATTATCGAAGATTGAACTTCTCAGAGGACTATCGAAGTATGGAGGAGGGAATGCGAGGCATAGGGCCTCGACATGCCCTATAGGGCCTATTTTTCACACTGTCGGCTGCCCTAAGTCAAGGCAGGCACGACTAAGGCCCTACAGGCCATTTTTGGGGTCACCATGCAACTCAGGAAATTCCGGCAGTTGCGCAGCGCCGGTTGGTTGGAAGCGCCCAAGCACAGGCTGCCTTCCTTTGCATGTAATTGAGGCAGGCCCTGGGCCGGATACACAAAGTGGACCGAACAAAGGCTGAGGGCAGTTGGGTGTTGGTAACCGATACAGGCCCAGGTGGACCGAACAAAGGCTGAGGGCAGTTGGGTGCTGGTAACCGATACAGGCCCTGGGCCTGTTACTTCGGACTGAGGCTCAGCCTCATGGGGCCTACCGAAAGCTTCTGGTACAGGGCCCAGTACCTCCCGAAGGCACGCAGCAGCAGACCACTTTGATATAGGGAAGGGTCTGCCTCCGCATTGGAGATTTCGGGCACTGGCTGCTTTGTGCGCAAGCGCTGCTGCGCTACTGCCTGCCAGGCTCACACGCTCACGGGCGAGCTGGAAGGAGCAGGCAGCCATAGCCGAGCTGCGCTGCTGTATGCTGGATGGGCTGCATGGTGGTCCTTGGGTGCAAGTGGCATCTGTGAGCTGGGGAACGAGGTTGTGAGTGATACGAGAGACATACTTGGTGCTTGAAGCGTGCGGCATTCGCTGAGATCTGCTCGTACTTCGGGGAGCTGTTGACGGCATCATCGGCATTGAAGAGTAGGCTAGATAGGATCTGCCATCTGTAGTCTGGCGCCGAGCGCCAAATAGGATATCAACATTGGTTCTTCGTTGATGATGATGATGGGACTATTCCAGCATTGTCAATTACGAGCTTTTGGTGTGTTCTTATTTGGTGAAACTCGTGATGCAATTCTGCTTTTGGTTCGAGGTCACGACTATCTGGTCTCATGTGTATGATGCTGTTTGATTGCTGAAGTTCGCTATTGCTCATCTTCCTTGCAAATACATCATAATCAAAGAATTCTTTTTCATAATTCTTTTTCGAAATTCTTTTTTTAATTTGGAAGTACTTTTCCTTTTGAAAACGTTATTCTACAGAATCTACACTCCTCAATTAATTTCGACTAAATGTGATTAATTCACGACTGAATTAATCCCTTTACTCGGAACTACTCATCCCTTTTCGAAATTCTAACCCGAACGTAAACCCGAATAAATTTAGTCAGAATTTATTCATCTTCTCGAAATTAATTATTCTCCTGAAAAATCCGTTTTCTCTTTCAAAACCTCTTTTTCAAATTTTCTTGAAAAACACATTCTCGAATTGATTTCGATTAAATTCAAATTAATTTGTTCAAAATTATTCTTGTTTAGCGATTTCTTTCCCCCTTCATCGCTAAATCAATTGTCGTTACCCTACCCTTGTAAATAGGAACTCCCCCCCGGGCATGACACACACAACCAGAAACTCCCAACGCACAACCGCCGCCTCCACCTCATCTGCTGCTAACTCCTCAGCCGCCGCTACCACCGCTTCCTCCCCCACCATGGCCCAATCATCCAGCATTGATATGTCCGGCATTCGCACCGACTCCGTCAACAGCATCGCCCGCAACCTCGCAGGCGAGCAAACACCAGCACCCGATGCCGCCACCGATCTCGCGACACTTTTCCGCATGGTGACATCCATCCAATCGTCCATCGCCAACATGAACACCACCATGTCGACCATCTCTGACCGCGTAGCCGCAATTGAGGGCAACTCCCCCGCCATCACGGTCGTCACCACGACTGCACCCTCCTCCTCGGCACCACAAACCACCTCGTCCTCCACCCCACAACCCTTGTCCTCCTCCGAACAGGCCTCCGCTTCAACCTCCACACCGACACCTTCTACATCTACCCCCCCAACCAGCACAGCCCCCACACAGCCGTCATCATCCACCACTTCTGCCACCGTTGTCACTCCCACTCCCCTCCTACCCAAGCCCTCAACCCCCACCATCACACAATCATCCAGCATCCCCCTTTAAACCAACCCAACTCTCACTTCATCTACCATCATCTCCACCCATCCAGCTACACCCCGGTCACCTTCTTCCCCTCAATGCTCCACCTCGCTCCACCTATCTTGCCCCAAACGTACTCATCCCCACCAACCCTACGATCGATTTCACGCGAGTCACGTCCTCCCCCTCTACCCTCGACTTCAACACCCACAAACCACCTCGTCCTCCACCACACAACCCACCTCCTCTTCCGAACAGGCCTCCGCTTCAATGTCCACACTGACACCTTTTACATCTACCCCCCCCCCCCGACCAGCACAGCCCCCACACAACCGTCATCATCCACCAGTTCTGCCACTGTTGTCACTCCCACTCCCCTCCTACCCAAGCCCTCAACCCCCGCCATCACACAATCATCCAGCATCCCCCTTCAAACAACCCAACTCTCACTTCATCTACCATCATCTCCACCCATCCCACCTACACCCCGGTCACCCCTTTCCCCTCAATGCTCCACCCCGCTCCACCTATCTTGCCCCCAAACGTACTCATCCCCACCAACCCTACGATCGATTTCATGCGAGTCACGTCCTCCCCCTCTACCCTCGACTTCAACACCCACAAACCGCCTCGTCCTCCACCCCACAACCCACCTCCTCCTTCGAACAGGCCTCCACTTCAACCTCCACACTGACACCTTCTACATCTACCCCCTCCCCGACCAGCACAGCCCCACACAGGCCGAGAGGGAACATGTTCTTTTTCATTTGTTTTTGGGAGGTGACGACGAGGGTCACAGGAGCTGCGCTACTTTTCAGCGCTCAGCCTTCTTCCTCTTGGGGGAGCGTGGACGGCCATAGCTGGGATGCCCTGCTACTTGGGGAGGCAGCGCCTGTGGGAGGTCTTCCAGGTGCTGGTGCCACTACCATCCCACTGCTGTTTGGAAGGTTTGAGGACACCGCTCTTGCTTCAAGCGGCCGTTGCTGATTAGGAGCTGCTATATCCAGGCAGACTTCATCTTCTTCATCGAAATTCTTCTTCATCCTCATGGTGGTTGACAGGACCTGCTGACGGCTGTCTGGCACATGCAACATCAGCGCCTGTGACTGGAAGGCCCTTGGGGACTGGGAGTGCCATACTGGGGTTGCCAGCTCGGGAAGGGAGTAGAAGTTTCATTGCTACTTCGCTGAAGGCTTGTTGGTAGTTGATCGGAGGTGGAGAAAATTCGTGGTTGAGATTCTCAGGGTTGTACTCGATTGGGATGGAGGAGAGGAGGGGGATTGATAAATAATTGATTGAAAACATTTTCTCTCAATTTTCGTATCTGGTTCTGGCTTCCGCTGTGCAATCTCTCACCATGGCTATGGTGTGAATCTGCTCTCTCCAGTCTGCCTGAGAGCAGAGGGATTAATAAACAATTGATTGAAAACATTTTCTCTCAATATTTGTATCTGGGTCTGGCTTCCGCTGTGCAATATCTTTCCATGGCTATGGTGTGAATCCCCTCTCTCTAGTCTGCCTGCCGTTGCAGATCCGCGTGGGAACATTTGAATGCAGTTTTGGGATTTGTGATTCAATCGCCACACAACAACATCACGAAGCCTGGAAAGAAATCAGCATGTTTTGCATTATAGGAACATTAGAAGAAATCAAGAAAAAAAACAGACAACTGCCATTTTTTTACGACTGACATTGCCTAGGTCGATGAGGAGAAGGCAAGATGTAATCAGACAAGCTGTGACAGACAGAAGGACTGGGTCAACAGATGAATCATCCGATGTGGCACAATGTGATCAGGTAGTGACGGGCCATTTTGGTCCAGCCTCCAAACTTTTCGGAATGACTCATTTTCAATTCTCAAGTTGTCTGGGTTGATGTACTGGCAGTTTAACTCGGTTTCGGCATTTCCTTTCCAGTGGAAACTTAGCCTTCAATGTTATCATGGCTTCAAAACTACTGGCATTGGTAACCAAATCAGATCTTCTGTGGTCAATTCTGGTTACCTAAGGACTACCTCTCAAAAATTTCCTGCTGACAGTTAACGCTCATAAGAATCCTCAGGCACTCCTACGGAGCTTAGAGGAACACAAGCAACGCATGCCCATCCAAAAACAGTAAAACATCTTTAATATTTGTACACTTTGCAATCTCAGCCTTTATTCTCTTCCTCCTACATATACCCCACCTCCTCCTTTCCTTCCTCCTAGGTTTCCTATTACTAATCTGATCCCTGTCCATTCTCTGATCTTGTAATCTCTGCAACCAATCCTGACCCAGAGACCATGAAGACCATCCTCTTCATTGGGTTAGTTCGAGAAATACCTGAAAGATGCATTTTGAGGTGCCATTGATGGAATTCCCGCATGCTGTCAGCTTCCCACCAAGTGATGCATCACCAACAATCCGCAGTCCTGCAACCGCCGGAAGGTCATCTGTACCAAAAGATGTAAACAAACATATGAAACATAGTTCAGGCTCTTCAAAAGCTAATGCAAACCCAAGCCGAATAAGATTCCTGAAATACTGCACACAAGAGCAAGAGCGGGGAGTCATTTTCCATAATGACAATCCCGCTCATCTTCCAGTTGTTCAACCCAATAGATTGCACACACATGGCACACAAAATGGAGAACAACATCGCATTGCAAGGGAAATGTAGTACATCATGTCAAGCTTGTGTTCGATCAACAACATCGCCACGTAAGGAACCATCGTACATACTGTCCAGTTTCTGTTCCGTGGCAAGCCCCAAGGGGTCTTAGGCCCCCTCTGGGCCCCCTCTGACGCAAATGCATATGGACCCGCACAGCACACCGATTCAGCCACCGCGTTAACGGCCTAAAAACATGGAGGTACTGGTGGTTTAAGATCCTGGCCAATTTCAGAGTACAAGCTCATGAGAAAGCACAATGCCGTCCAATTGCAAAAAGAAATGAATGGACTTGGGAGGAGAGAGAGGGAAAGGAGACGAAGAAGAAGAAAGAAAGAAGAAGAAGATGTACACCAGCAAAGACCAATGATAATTCCCTTCTTCTCGCCAACTACTCTCCTCCTCCTTTTCTCCTCCCCTCTTTATTTACAATAAATAATAATAATAATGTCGAATGGCTGAACCAGAATCAATGTCCGAATCCCTCTTCTACCGCATGAGGTCCACCATAGCCACGGCCACCCTTCTCCTTCCTCTTCATGAAGGTCGAGGCTATGGCGGACTGCTAGGGCCTTGCCCTGATGTGCAAAAGTCCACTCAAAGCAGCTATTGCTGCTCTAGCTCGGGCCGACATGCCTGACTCTGCCTCAAAGCTTCTTGGTGTAGCTCTACCCCAACTGGGGCCTTCTAGATGCAGCCCCATCCAAGGTGATGAAGATGGTGTCCACCATAGCCCGGTAAGTACCTCTCGCACTCCCCCTTCCTAGTACTCGTCTTCGTCCTCCTCCAGGCCGTGCTCCACCACCATAGCCGAGGTGGGGAGTTGGGCGCTCCTTCGTCCCCAGCAGCGCTCCAAGCAGTGTGTCGCCAAACTTGCACACCGTAGAAATAGGAGCTATTTGCTCCTCCTGGAGATGTAGCGACCTGCCTCTTGGGCGGTGACTTCCAGGCCGGGCAGCCTCCAAGCAACCTGTACCTCCTCCCTTTCGGAGGGAAACATTATTGCAGACTCTGATATTGCCCGTACAGGCCCTAGACTCAGACTACTTGGACTGGTACCTGCCTAGACCTAGCCTACAACTACAGGGCCTCTAAAAACGCCAACTTTTGTCTTCTTCTGCTCGGCCTCGAGTACCCGACACATCTACTACTACTCGGTGTGGTACCGACCTACCTGCTACTTGAGTGTTTTTCCCAAGTGTTCTACGTGTCGTGGGCCTACTCCCGCCACTTGAGTGTTTTCCCCACTACAACCCTCAAAGTCACGGCCACAGGTAAGTACCAGCCCTTCGAGCCTTCCAAACGAATAAATTCCCCGGGTCACACACATTCTCAAGACGACAAGCGCTCCGACACGCACACAGACCAGCAAGTATGCACACACACACACACACTTCAAAACTCGACAACAAATGGGAATCTAAGGAAGATATACATTCCATTGGCAGAACTCATAAATCAGTTGTGTCTCAGTCCGTGTTTGGCAGGTCCTTACACTACCCCCCTCTCAAGAGCGAGGTCCCTTCGAGCGAGTAACTCATTCTGAGTCCCTGACAAACGCATCATAAGCGAACATAGCAAGGAGATTGCGTGAATACTCGGTACCAGTGGGTTTTGCAGAGATTTTTGGTACAGCATCGGAAGCTATCTGTCGTTCGAATGCTTTAACAACACGAGGCACGCTGCAGCAGTTCCTTCTTTGAAATCCAATAGAGATCATCCAATGGGTGATACATGCAGTCAACCTGATATTGCCTGTTACATCCCTCCCTAGTATGACTTCAAATTCGATCTATCTCGTGACAACCCTTGATTGCACGAGGGATCATGTTCTCACGGTATTCATAGGTTTTAGCATCCCGATATGGAAACAACTTTGATGCATGGGTACGTGCGCAAATGACGAGGCACGACAATTACGTATGAAGGACCAAACTCATCCTTACCAACCACATCCAGAGCTTTGAACGGACCGTGATAGAGAGGGAGAAATTTGTGTGACACTCCCTCTTTTTCCAAAAATTCAGACATCTTGACCCAGACATAACTTCCCACTTTGATAATCGATGGTGTGTGCTTCTTATTTGCATGATGGATCATGGCATGACGTCGCTTAGTCATTGCTGCAATGGCAACTTTGAGTAAGCAACCATACATGGGGCTGAAGCCGGGCCTGCTAGGCGTTAGACCAGCCGACTATTCTGGGAATAAGTAGGAGGGCGGATTACGGATCTTCCGGCCGTAATGCAACTTTTTTTGGCGTCATGCCGGTGGAAGAATAATTGGACTTGTTGTACAAACCCTTGACCGAATACAGCTCTTCATCCCACGTTTCCTGATCCGGAATGATTAAGGCACGGAGAAGTAGAAACACAGTCTGGTTCATCTCCTCGGCCAAACCGTTGGCTTCAGGGTGTCTACCAGATGTTATCTTTAGGTTGAGACCAGCGAGTTGGGGCGTGAAGTCCTTCTAGTCAGTACTTATGAAGCGCGGGTCCCAATCGCTCACAAGGGTTTTCGGGGGTTCCGAAACTGCAAAATGTACTTTTGGTGAAGTTCATGGATCACAAGTTCAGTTGGGGCGTGAGATGGCAATGGAATCAGGTTTAGGAATTTGGAAAGGTGGTCAACAATCACCATCACTTGCATATCCATTTTTACTTGACTTCCCCATGTCTGTGAAGTCGATAGAAACAGACTCTCTGGGACCGTCGAGAACGGGAATTGAACAGCCCCATGGGCTTTTGCCTCGATGGTTTGATTCACTGACAGACTTGACACTCAACCACAAACTTCTCAGTAGATCCTTTCATACCGGGCCAGTCAAACTATAGCAACAGGTTTCCGTAGGTTTTTGCAATGCCGAAATGTCCATTCCAATAGTGGGCCAAATCCAACAAGTGTGTGTCGAGAGGCTCATGGTTGGGTACAACAAACGGTCATTCTTTCTGTAGCGTCGAAAAACCAGACCTTAGCATTCATGAAAATCAGGCAGACTACTGCGGTCAGCCCACAACTGCTCGATGATTGGAAGGAGGTCCGGGTCCTTGGCAGTTTGCTCCACGAGTTCTCGAGGATTGGACCGAGGTCCGGGTCCTTGGCAGTTTGCTCCACGTGAAAATCAGGCAGACAATGCATCAACAACTCAATTGTAACAACCCTTCTTGGTTTTAACTCAAAATTAAAAATGTCGATCTCATGGAACCAGCGAGTCAACATAGGAGATAAGGTAGTTTGTTCCTTGATCCACTTCAAGTTCTCATGATCTGAGAAGACTTTGAAGTGGCGTCCCAAAAGATGGTGTTTTCAGTGGTCCAATGCCATGTAGATGGAAATAGCTAGGCATGCATTTGTTGTAGTATTCGAGCAGACACAAGCTATCACCATCATCTTGTTGCATCATTGTGCCAATCCTATATTGGCTCGCATGTAGTGACTACAAATGTAAGTTTGGGATCTGCAATGCGGAGCACAAGATGACTTACCGAGGCCTTTTTCAAGGCTTGAAAGGCACGCATGCCTCGTCCCATGCATATGATACTTTCTTATGTGTTAGTTTGGACAATGGACGGGCAGCGATAGAGCATAAGGGCACAAACTTCCGATAGTAGATGCAAGACCAAAAAAGGAATGCACTTCACAAACATTCGTCGGTTGAGGTCAGCCATGTATGACCTCGACCTTGGTTGCCTTGAGCTCAAGGCCTGCCGCAGACAACCGGTGCCCTAGATAGATGACGTTGTCCATCCGATACTCAGATTTCTCTAAGTTGAGATGGAGCTGCATTTTCTTGAGGACTTTTCCTCAAGGTGTCTCATGTGTTCTTCCATCGATTTGCTGAAAATCAGAATGTCATCAAGGTAGACAACCACAAACTGACCAATTTGTTCGTGAAGGACTTTGTCCATGCGACATTGAAAGGTGTCCGGCGCATTTGTGAGGCCGAAGGGCATGACGATAGATTTGTACAACCCATCGCGCGTCTTGAATGCGGTCTTGTGCTGGTCCGCAGGATTGACCTCAATCTGGTGGTAGCCTGACTCGAGATCGATCTTGGAGAAGACCTTGCACCCACCTGCAACATCATGCAGATCATCGATGCGTAGTAATGCATATGCATTATTCTTGTGATCCGGTTTAGACCACGGTAACCAATACACATTCGGAGCTTGCCTCCTTTCTTTGGAACAAACAAAACAAGTGCACTAAATTCGGATTCACTTGGCTTAATCCACCCTTTGTCAATCATCTCATCGATTTGCCTCCGGAGTTCCTCCAACTTGTCGGATCCCATACGGTATACACAACCCTTTGGAGGAACGACGCCTTCGACCAATTTGACCATGTGTTTGACCGATCACGTGGGGACTCCATGCGGTTCAAGTTGAACTTCCGAAAATCAGTTGAGTAGGCTTTGGATGTTTGTTGGGATTTCCGCAGGTGGGGGGTCAAAAAAAGGATCACCTAAATCAGGTCGCAGATTAGTAGTGAAAGCAACTGAATCTGAAGTAGAATCATTTGGACTAGAAGTGGGTGGAGAGGTAGAAATACTAGAAGTAGGCACACCATGCACAATAGAACTAGAACTAGCCGCAAAAGTAGTAGGCACATGAGTAGGACGAACAAAAGCAACATACAACTGCTCGTCCTCCTTGTGCTTGCGCCACTTCTTGCAGAATTGCATTGCATTAAGATAAGTTACTTGGGTTTCACTCTTCTTGTCTAGTAATTTCTCAAAGCATCATGTACCACAAAGAGATCAGCCTTCCACTCCGTCCACTT